TATCTCAAGGAACAAGTACCTACCTTTTATAATGACATTTCTAGTTGTCTACAACCCTGTCCAGGGTGAAGCAGTCTCACAACTGACAACTGCTGCTGGACTCGAATCTAGTTATGCAGGTGCTTTTCCCTCCCAGCTGTTGAAGGGCAACATTTTGTTTTATTTTTATTACGTAAAACTGCCATCTGAGTGGTGAAACTGTCCTCCAACCTATTTTGCTCGGGCCATACAAACTTCAGAGATTCAGCTGCAGGTACAGGAAGCAAAGGGAAGATCTTGGAGATACTTATTAAAAACAAGCATTAACACTTACTAACTGAGTGTGGGAGACAGATATGAAGGAGTCAGAGTGTATGCATGGACGGCTTCAAAAGGGAATTAGCATAGATAGGGTCTCTGGGGCAAGTGATGCTCTGTCTTCTTAGTGGTGGAGGGGTCAACAGTGGGAGGGCTTCTAATGTCCTGGCCCCACTGGTAGACCTCCTGATGGCACTGGTATTTCTGGCCACTGTGTGACACAGAGTATTGGACTGGATGGGCCTTTGGCCTGATCCAACATTGACGTCTCTTATGTTCTTATGTTCTTAATACTGATGTTGAGGCTGGACCTGTCGTTTACTTGCCAAATTAAATCATAATCAAACTCTCGGCAATATAGGTTCATTGTTCAGACTATAAATTATGATGTTTTAATTTGTGAAGACCTGTTTTCTTTGATCACATCAGCTGGTGCTATTTTTTTCTGTAAACTCCTCTTCCATCACAAAGGACTCTGCTCACATGTTCTCTCTCAATCCCCTCTTTATCCCACCCTTCCTCCAATCTCCCTCCCCTTATATTGACCTCACAACAATGGCAATATCACCCAGCCTCACAAAGGGAGCTTTGACTCTTGGAAGCTTATTCCCTGAAACTCTTGTTGGTCTCTAATCTGCCACTAGACTCAAATCTAACTGTCCCAGTATCACCGAGTAAGCATCATGCAAAATGTAGATCTGAACATGGGTCTCCTCAGTCCACACTGGTCTTCATGCCATTGGTCCATCTACTTCAGCATGGCCTGCTCTGATGCAGGTGATCTCTAGAGACTTAGACAGAGAAAGATCCTTCCCAACACCTGTTCTCTTAGACCTCCTAGGATTAAACCTTTATCCTTTGGCACACAAAGCATGGTCTCTCTACCATCAGTCCATCAATGTCAGCCTTGTCTACTCAGACTGGCAGTAGTTCTCCAAGGTTTTATGTAGAAGATTTTGCCCATGCCGTACTTTGTTTCTGAGCCATCGAGCCTGGGGGCGTGGGGAAGGATGTAGGCGGGCTGCTTTTGTTTATAATGCAAAAGCATATTACCTCTTTCTAACAACATGTGTCCATGAAAGATGCATATATGTCCACTGTAATATGTGAACAGGGCTTCTGTTTCCCTGGATGGTGAGCAGGAAGAGAGGGAAATGACAACAGATTTGTTCTTGATATGTACACGATCCAGCCAGAACGCTTAACACTTTACTCATGTTTGTGCCGCACAGCATTATCCTGGTTGGGAAGAGATATATGACAGTGTATTTAAATTTGAATTTTGAAAGAAGGTTACTTCAGAGGGACAGGTGTCGTTTGGTGCAGTGTGCTGGAAGTGAACATCATCAGAAAGGGTGGAGCTTGGGAAGTGACATCACCTGTCGTTTTACCTGGAAGTGACATCACAGGAAGTGACACCACAAAAGTATCCTGGCTCCACCCCCAAAGTCCTGAGATATTTCTGAAGTTGGACTTGGCAACCCTAGGGGGTGGGGTTGAAGGGGAAGTGGTAAACAGCAAAAGAGTTAAGAATTCCTCCTGCCCACCAGCCACTTTTCCTGTGCCAAGGCAGGAGGGCTTTGCTTTCCAGCACAGAAACATAAATTGGGCATAGGGTTGCCAGGTCCCCCCTGGACCACTGGCAGGGGGGCGAGGGGGGGTAGGGTTGCCAGCTCCAGGCTAGTAAACTCCAGGGGATTTGGGGGTGGAGCCTGGGTAAAGCAGGGACTTCAGTGGGGTACAAGGTCATAGAGTCTACCCTTCAAAACATCCGTTTTCTCCAGGGGAACTGATCTCTGTAGTTCAGAGATGAGCTGTAATTCTGGGGAATCCTGAGGTCCCGCCTGGAGGCTGGCATCGGCATTTGAGTACACAATTTATCTAATAATGTGTAATTCCATCCAGGGTACTGGGAAAATGTGACAATCCTGCAGTAAAAATGGAAAGTTTGTTTTTTCATTCTGAAAAAACCACTCAACGATAGCAGTCTTTCTTCAGCACTTTAATATTTAGGGTTCAAATGTATATAGTATGGTGTGATTTGAGGATAATTTTGTTTGAGAAGTTAATTGTATTAAAAGACATTCTTGGTAGCATGCCAAGTGAGACTGGATGACAATACTTTCTTGTACTTAATAATTATCATGATAAGTAATCAATGGAATGCTTCACAGTGGGGCTCTAAGGTACAGAGGCACATGGCTTATCTTATATAACAGTAATTAGGACACGGTAGTTCTTAGAAAACAAGTTTGTGTAACAGCAGTTGTTCTGGAAGTCACCCTAGTTTGCAGACTAGGAAAAACTGCAAGAGGTAAAGCCAGTTTCTTGAAAGTTTCATGTACAGCTGGAAAGTTGTATCATAAATGGACTGTATAGTAATGATATCTGCTGGTGTATAATGTGTAGAACAAATATGTCCATCCCTTCCACCTTTCTCTGATTCACAAATTGTCCATGCCATTATCCTATTAAAAAAATTGTTTTAGGTTTGGGTTAGAAACAAGCCCTCCTCTCTTCTGTTCCTAATTCCTAGCTAGGGTTGCCAAATCAAAAATACCTGGCGTCGGGAAATCTTCTCTCCGCTCCGGGAGACGCGCGTGGATGCGCGCGCGCGCCGCCAGGACGTCACCAGAAGTGACGTCACACGCTGGGCGGGGCCACGCTGTTTGAGGGGAAATCAAAGAGTTTTCCCCTCAAATGGCTGCCATTTGAGGGGAAAACTCTTTGTTTTCCCCTCAAACGGCGTGGCTCCGCCCCCCGAAACGGTGGATTCCCCTCCCCCCGGCTGCATTTGGCAGCCCTATTCCTAGCTGTGTTCTGTGGCCATGCTCCCCAGTACAGTAGGCCTACATTCCTTAACAGACCTTGTTAGCCTGCTGTTCTCCAGATGTTTGCTGTGTCACTTTATGATCTAAATGAAGTAATATCCTTTACATCTAGGGTGACCCTACAACAATATGAACTGTCTGTTCTACACCGTGGTCCTTTTGTTTGGATTATGTTTCTAGTTTTCAGTAGCACCTCCTTAGATTGCACACATTATAACTAGTGCCAGATTTTGGACTAGAACAACTGCTTTTAAAATGGTGGTCTTGCAACAGTGCCAATGTGAAAGTTGTGCTAACATGCCCCATTTAAAGCATTTGAGAGCATACCAAGACTAGGATTAAGTCATTATGGGTGGGAAACCTTCAAGGACTTGTGGGGGGGGGGGTGACTTCATTTCCCCTGTCTCCCTCTTCCACACACTATTTTCTCCTTCTCCTGGTGCCTCCCATATCCTCTCTCCTTTTTCAGCTTCCTTCTCTTCTTCCCACTCACCAGCCAACCTTTCTTTTATCTATGCCCACCAGGTCTTCCGCTTTATTTATTTACTTACCTCATTTATATCTCACCTTTCTTTTCAATTGGTACCTAAAGTAGCTTAAATCGTTCCTCCTCACAACAACCCTGTGAGGTAGATTAGGCTGAGAGACTGACTGGCCCAAGGTCACCCAGCAAGTTTATGGCAGAAGTCTCATCACATCATCCAGTAGCCACTGCTGCACCTGGGTGAGGTGCAAATAGTTGAATGGTAACAAGTTGTTAGGATTGCCAAGTCCCCTCCTCGCTCCAGCAGAGGGATTTGGGGGATGCCCCCAAGCCACGCCCCAAGCCCCACCCCCAAGTGCAACCACCCACTTGGCCACCCCTCCCTCACCTCCTGACAGATTTAAAGGGCTTCAGTTGATTGGCAGGGACCATGCGGCCTGCTGATTAGCTGGAGGGCTCTTTAAATCTAGCAGGAGGGAGAGGGGTGGTTAACTCTGGGGGCTGGCAGCCCTATGTCCCATGGTTGCTACCAGGCCTGGGCTTGATAAGTCTATTTCCTAGGCTGGAGGTAGGGGAGCAGGGGTAGACTGGGAGGCCAGAATGGTCCCGGAAACGGCTTTTTACTTATAGAAACCAAGGTTTAAAGGCTGGCAATATTGTTGTGGTTGCTTAGCAACCACCTCAATGATGACTGAGATGTCAGAGAGCATTCATCTCGTAAAGGTACAAGTCCTGCCTGCATTATCTGCCTTGTTTGTCATGGCGGCAGCCTCTGGATTTAAGTGTCCACAGACAGGACCATGTTGAAAATCAGATATGTTGACAAAAGAAGGACCCACAAGGACTTGCAGGGGCCATATGATTTTCCTCTCCCCCACTATTTTGTCTTTCCCTTCCCTGGCAACCCCCACAGCTTCTCTCTTTTTCCTGCTTCTTCTAAGATCCCTTGATGTCAGCTTTTCTTTCTTCCCTCTGCTTGGTAGCCTCTACCTGGGAAAACTGTGGCCCAGTTGCCATGGTGCTGCCTGCTGGATCAAGCCTGGTTGCAAGGTGGGAAACCTGCAGGGAATTGCAGGAGCCTCCTCCCTTTCCCCTGTATTCTCCTCCCCACAGTATTTTCTTTTTCCCTCCTCCTGGCAACCTTTCCCTGCTTCCTTCTGTCCCTTTCACCCACCAACCAACCGATCATTTATCTGCCCCGCCATCTTCAGCTATATTTATTATTATGTCATTTATACATCACTTTTTTCCACAATGAAGAACCAAAGCAGCTTTCATTGTTCATATCTCCTTCATTTTAACTTCACAACAACACTGTGCAGTGATTAGGTTGAGAATGTGTGACTGGCCCTAGATCACCCAGTAAACTTCCATGGGACAGTGGTAGGGTTGCCAGGTCCTTACCTTGCGCCGGCGGGGGGTGGGAAGGAGCTCTCTGGGAGTGGATGGTGGGTTGGGTGATGGGGCCTTATGCCCCCAAAGTGATGACATCACATGGAAGTGATGTCATCACTCCAGGGACATCACGCGGTGATACCCCTGGTGTGATGTTACCACTTCCGTGTGATATCATCATATTGGGGGCGTTGCACTGGGTTGTGGTTGATGGGGGTGGGCTTCCCCCACTGGCTGGCAGTGGGCAGGAGCCCGTGAAATTGGGGAATCCCCTGCTCCCACTTGGGGGCTGGCAACCCTAAAGAGTGGTGATTCAAACCTGGATCTCCCAGATCCTAGTCTGAAACTAACCATTATAGTACATTGGCTTTTATGGGATGGATGCCACTCCTGGAAGACATGCAGGTCTCATGGTAGCACGTTGTCCAATGGCTGCTGCCGTGCCTGGCCCCAGTGAGTCCTCTCTCAAAGGCCAAAAAAGCCCAGGAATGCCTCCCCCCCACCGCCACCTTTTGCTGATATGAACAATGGCTTGAAGGCTGACAGTACTGTTGTGGTTACCACAGTGGCCACTGCAAAGAGTATTAGTTTGCTAAAGGTAGAGGAACTGCTTCTATTGTTTTGGGGGGCTAGCCTCCAATTGTTTTGATATTTTTTCAGATTTTTCTGCAAACCTGTGGTTTTTCCCGGTTTGTAGAAGGAAGTGTTTGTAGAAGGAAGTGGCTCCGATAACAGGTTTTAAGTATCCCCCAATTTGGCCATGTTGAGATTTAGACATATTGATTCTATCTCAAGTTCCGTTATTGACTGTGGATAATGTAATCTAATTATCACATATCTGATTAATTTCTTTTTTATATTTACAGGTAAGGAGGTGGTACTAAAGGCCCGAGTGTTTACATGTGTGGAAGGGATAAACCTTCCATTGTTGGAGAAGGCCATATTGGAACAGAGAAAATATTTCCAGGAGAGAGAGAAGCAGCTGGAGGGAAAGAATTCCTAATTCAATGCTTTAGAAGGAATTTACTGCTGACAGACTTCTTGATATATTGAACATAGCCGGCTCATCCTTTGCTGTCACTCCTGTATCATGTACTGTACCATTTTGCAGCACCCTCTTGAATGTAATGGCCATTTTAAAGTACATCATGTTTTTATTGCTCAGAGAATGCATGTTTATTTTCTGTATTTTGGGATTGCTTTACATTGTATTTTATTAAGCTTCCAATTAAAGCTGCATGTGGTCTTTTCTACATTTTGCATTTCACATGTTACCCATGAATGTGTACCTATGTCTGCACTTGGAAAGGAATTGCTAATAGATGTGGAAACCAATATGAAATCAATGCAGGTGAAGATTTTTTTTTTAAACCCCCGAAGGGGTATTTTTATTGTTTTTCAATAGACTACAAAACTACAAAGAAAAAATTGGGAAGGGACTACATCTATGGATAAAGGAAAGATACCCACACTAACTAAAAACCCAAGTGTGAGAGTTCATATCCCAGTTAAACTAAATGTTAGTATTACATTTGTTAATAAGACAATATACTTGTAGAGTTCTTGCTTTGCACTGCTTCTATGTTAGTAAATTAGTTATCTTGAGAAGACTTTCTGAGCATCTTCATTTCTTCAAAGAGCAATTTTCAGAGTCCTGCCCTTACTTTGGCTTTCTGTCTCTAAAATCATACACAATTTTCGTCGCACCCATAGCCGCTTCAGCTGCAGAGTCCTCGTCCGATCCAGAGGTTGCTGAGTCACTTGACTTGGTTTCTTCCTCCTTAGATTCTTCCCCCGTTCCCAGCTGGCGTCTCAATAATTCATTGGCTTTAAAAATTGAATCAATCTTCTCTCTTTTATCGTTGATTTTAAAGATGACACCCTCGGGGATCCCCCACCTGTACTGAATTCCGTTGGTTTGAAGAAAAGAAATTAAATCCTTGTAGGTTTTCCTTTTTTGACAAATTTCAAATGGAATGTCCTTTAAAGTCTTAATAAGTGTATTTCCCAGTTTCAGTGGGGTTGCTGAAGTTGCTTTTAATATGGCATCTCTGGTCTGTCTTCTTGCAAATCTTACCACAATCTCTCCAGACAGGCTATTTTTTTAAATATAATTGGAGTATGCCCTATAGACAGTCTCTTCATCTTTTTATTACCGGTGTCCATCTTTACTATTTTTTCTGTTACTTGTTCCACTTTCTTGTCTGTTTCTGCCAACTGATGCTGCTGTAAAGCGAAGTTTTGATTCAACGAGGTCAGCTGCTGGTTAATACCATTGAGTTGCTCTACCACCGGCTTTAGCATATCCGCTAGCAGCTTCATGACGTCAGTTCTCTCCTCTGGCCTCGGGCTCTGACTACCCGGTTTCGGTTTTAACTTTCCTCGTGTCGCCACCATTTTTCCAATTTGTTTACAAATTCAAACCATTATGCAAAGGCTCGAAGGGCTCGTCATTTCCCTGCAGGCACTCAGATAAGTCTCTCAAAACAAATCGCTGTTTGCTTCCCCCCTCTCCCCCTTCGCTTCCCTTGACTCTTTATGCGCATAGAAGGCGTCCCTCCCTGCTCTCCACTTTCCCACGGGGGGGGGAATCTGTTTATCAATCAGTCCGCTCAGACAGAACTCACGTTCATTGTCGGTCTTCAATCAGACCTCACTCCCAATCATCGTTATTCTGCTCGATCTCTCGCGCTTGCCCCAGTCGAACTAGCTTGTGCCCGAAGGCCACTCAGTGACCGGACCATCAGGGCGGAGGGAAGCCTCTATTCTCCGGCAAATAGCTGTCGAAGAGGCTAACCCTCAAAAGCCCTCTGGCTTGGAGCCCTTCCCGAGAGCTCCGTGGAGGTGCCACTTGAGGTGGCACCCCTCCATGTCGCTGGTGTGCTAATTGCTCCTCCATGGGTCGGAGAGAGCGACCTCCATCGGTAGTCCACTTCCGGTTCTCCCAATGCAGGTGAAGATTTGATGCGTATGGGAAAAGTATATGTAATCTTTCTCCATGCCGTGTCTAAGCCTCCATATGTCACATAGGTTATACCACTTAAAAATTGAAACTAAATATGTGGAATAATCACTGTTGGACCTCTTGTGTATGGAGGTTTTAGAGCAAAAATGGGATCTGTCTAGAGAAAGGTTTGCAATAAAGTTAAAGTCCCCCCCATCACATAAGGGCCTTCACTAATAGATTCAAGCTTGTCAAATGTTTCCCTCAGAAAATGAATTTGGCCCTTATTTGGTGCATATAATGATACTAATGTCCTAGATTCGCCATTTATCTTCAAAAATATAAATCTACCCTGAGGGTCCTTAGCTATTTTTTCCATATTAAGTCTGATCATTGTATTGACCAATATCACGAAACCTCTAGCCATAGGGGAGCCAGCTGCTAGATACTGCTGTGCAAATCTGTGTGAATTAAACACTGGAAGCGGCTTATTTTTCAGATGCATTTCTTGTAGAAAGATTATATCTGGCTTCTGGTTTAATAGAGCCATAGCAATTCTTTTTCTCTTGATGGGATTATTCAATCATCTAAAATTATAATATATATATTTTACTACAGCTTGAGCCGTTTTGTCATAACCAATACCAAGAACCTAGTGTTATGTACAGATAAGATTGTACTAAATCCAGAAAATCTAAACCATTCTGCATAGTATATACCATTAAGCCATGAAAAATTAATAAAAATTGAAGCTCAAGGAAACATCTCTACTTGATGCATATCCTACCCCTATAATAGGGTAGTAAATATTTTAAGTAAGCACTGATGCTTTTGATTAGTGGATTCTCATACCCCAGCTGCACAGCACCAACTAAACAAAAATACAACAATAATAGCTGCCACTGAAACATCAAACTCCATTGGTGAGAACCGTTTCTGCCAGCTAACTCGTTCCAAGAAATTTGTAAAGGTGTGTTATTGTCATTCTTAAGTTTATCTCTCCAGTCACAGAACCAGCAACATTTACATTGAGTTTTAACAACTAAAAACCAAAGTTAAGCATGGAGCTCTGCCATCCCTTACTCCCAGAGGTCCATATGCCAATTTTTGGAACATGATTGATTCTAAAAGACCCATGAGCCAATCTAGAATAATAAAAGTAAAAATAAAAGTAGCAAGAACAAATTGTCTCAAAGGAAACAAGTTAGCTGAACATCCAGTTGTCTGCATTTAAAAGCAGCCAGGGAACGTTTTTCTGCAATTATATTGGGGTTGGGAGTTGGAAGCATGCCCACCCCTGAACCATTTGTTATTTCCTGGGGCAGTCTCCCGAACGCCCTGCCTGGCAACTGCTGGGTGTTTTGTGTTTTTTACCCTGCTCATTCCGTCTTTCCTGCCCCCCGCCTCCCCCCTGCCAGGTCATTTCCTTTGACTTTCTGGGGGAGGGGGTCACAGGTGCCTCTGTAGCGTGCTTGGGCCAGAATTGTAGCTTTAGTCTGGGCACTCGCAAATCTCACAACTATGTCTCTTGGCAGGGGTCATTTCGTAGAAAAAGAGGTGCATGAGCTCATTAGCATAACTTATTTGCATATGCCACACCCCCTGACATCACTGGAAGTGTGTCAGAAGGCAACACCCACCACTCAGGATCCACTGGACTGTTTTGGATTGCTAGCTATTGGGAGGGGGGGACACACGCAGATCTGCTCTCGCAGAGGAGGGAGAGTTTGTACCTGAATAAACCTTGGACTTAAAGGTGACACTGGACTCTTGGATTGCTAGCTATGGGGGGACACACGCAGATCTGCCTTCACAGAGGAGGGAGAGCTTGTACCTGAATAAACCTTGGTCTTAAAGGTGCCACTGGATTCTTTTGGATT